ATTAGCAATTCCACTCGCCAAATGCATCTGGCTTGTCGAAATGTTTAGATAACCAACAACTTCCTCTACACACTCAGTTACAGCCAACCCTCAGCACCGTCTCTTCTTGCACATTAATGCATCTAGACTGACTTTCCCCAGCTCCTCTCCCTTTATCCAATCCCTGCAAGCACCGTGTACAGATGCTATTAACTCAATGCTTATTTATAATTATAAGATAATTGTAATACCTTTTGTTGCCATTTGTCCCTTGAAATCGCATCTTGTTCAATTGCCTTGATGGCGTCTATTTTGAGACGTTTTCGTAGTAAATTATCAATTTATTTGATTAGTGGCTTGAAATAAAGTCTTCAAGAACTTTCTCCAACTTTGACTTTTTACCAGTTTCAAGAAGCGGAATGTGTGAGTGTGCGTCTATGTGCGTGTGTGTGTGTGTGAATGTGTGTGTGTCCGAGTGTGTGCATGTGTGTGAATTATTCGCACATTCCTTGCTCTGCACCCAATTAGACGATAATTAAAAGTTGCTATTGTCGCAACATGTTGCAAATCACTGCATTCGTCACCTGCATTTTTCTTCTGCCAAATGGATTATCCATCGAATTTAACAGGAACCCAAACCACATAAATAACCCTTTTAATAATACCAGTCAGCCTGCCCTAAATGGTTCTCATTACCACTCTGTTTTACAGTATGTACAATCTACCTGGTAGCGGACCTGGAGTGCGAGACACTTCCCCTCACATTACACTGGAGTCGATTGTTGTACAATAATTACAGATTTGATTTTATTCTTGGATTGTTTTCATGGAGAAAAAAAATGAAGTATCTGTTGATTGATATTATCAATTCTAAGTGCCCGTGTTTCAATCAATGTATCAAATAGTAACCGGAGACTCTCTGAATCTGTTCTCAATAAAATGTTTTTTAGTTCAGATTAGAGTGACACCTCTCACTGATAAAACTAAGTACCTATAAACCACATTACTTGCAATGTGAACATTATTTGGAGGATGAGGTTGGTTGTTGTCACCATCGGGGTCGAGTTGGCATGTGACAGAGTTAAATAGACCTAAAAATAATATATATAAAATCTAGCTGTATAAAGGCAGCTGAAATCTCGCGTATTCGTGCCTGGAGCGTCCCAAAGTGAAGCGTTTAAAGATGAAAGTACGAGAAATAAAAGGGCCAATTTAATCTGCCTTAAAACCCTTCAACATATCGTTTGTGCTTATAAGTCACCACAGTGCTTCATTGGGGGATAAATACATTTCTAACCATGCCTAGCAGCTATTACACCCATCCGAAACACAGTCCCCATTCACACTCTGCACTTTTCATTACTTTACATAATAAGCCTTAACATTATTAAATGTCAGCGAGATGAGAGAGAGAGAGAGAGAAATAAATAGTCCAGGAAGATGCTTAGAGAGAAAAACAGAGGCAGAGGGGGTATTTATAGCATACCGGCCCTGACTTACAGCAACAAAGCCACAAATTAAATAAAGACAAGTTTATAGTTGTATCTTCTTGTGATATATAAATAATTTGTACAAAACTAATTGCTTGAAGCAACAGCAGCACTTTTTTTTAAATGAATTCTACCTGGCGAGGTGTTACAAGCATCTCAGATAGATGTGTGAAAATATGTAAGTTGGAGACGAGAGGAAATAAAGATTGTTTAATATAAACAGCAATATTCACAGCTGGTTAGGGAGCTGTTGCTGTTGTGGTTAGTGACCCTCCGCTTAACATTGCTCAATGGTGTGAACACAGGGGACAGTGTATCAAACGGGCGGCCTTTAACAGGACTGGTGTAGTTGAAGGAATTCACTTATTGTGTGTTTTTAAAACATCGAGTAAATCCTAAAAAGAAACGGGATAAGAGGGAAAATGTTCCTTCGAGGAATGGTTCACTTTAAACTTTTTTTATAAAAAAAACCCTACTTCGGGAGGCGTTTAAGCTTCCGCCCGTCTTATTTGACTCGATTTAAACCATTGAACGTGAAGAAAAGAAGTTTTGATGACTTTTACTGGTTAATTCATAAAGAAACTCAATTAAAGTCGAGCGGCGCCTCGGAGTGATATTAATGTCTCGAAACAGTCGCGTCTCCTCGTATCTCTGCCGACGCCGCACGACTCTCTCGTTATTTTAACTTTTCTAGATAACCTGTGTCTAAATGCAGAAGCTGTAAGGTCCCGCCGGCTGTTTAATGTAAGAATTAAAAATAAGGGAGAGGAAAATCATATAGAGTCTTCCCGGCTTTACTGCCCAACCCATCCCTCGCTCTCTCTCTCTCTCTCTCTGATGCGGGAACTTGGGACAAAGTTTATGAGCTCCATTGAAAAAAAAATCGAGGGCAAAATCTCTTATTTAAAAAGTGAAATATTTTCCAATGAAAAGCTGCAAATGGTTCTACACCATTCACTCCCATATGTGAGTGATAGCACTCTCTACACAACCCACGCGCCTGCAATCATCTATCACGAATATTCACAAACAAGCTGTGGGGAGCCGAGGACTTGGCCAATATAACACAACATTGCTCAGAATTGGTTCCTGGTGGAATTGGCGGACGATGTAAAATTAAACGAAAGGTGATGGAAGCACAGTGAGTGAGTGAGTGAAGGAGTGAGAGGGAACTGCCTCTCCTGTCGCTTCACCCACACCAACATTTATACTTTAACAATTACAGTGACCCGCAATATAATAATCATGTAATAACACTTGCGTTTGATACAGCGCCTTATCACAAGACATTTTAAAGAGCGAGGCGTCTCAAAGCGCTTCGCAGAATATACTGTAACGTGAATTGACTGTAATTTGTGGGCGAAACGCGCACGCACACGAGGCAGATCGATATATTTTTTTTTAAAAAGCTAGAAACTAAATGAACACAATATGCCAAATATATTGTCGAGCTTTATATGCTTTTTTTAAATTAAAAAAAAGAAAGCGCCGAGAACTGCTTTACTTAATTGTCAGTCACACGTGCCATTTGGACGGCCCGGTCTGGCCAGACATTTGAGATAGTTGGATTTGAGTGTTGACAATAGTTTATTTCTGACACTGAGACACACAGTCCCGGGGCCTGGGGCCAGCCGGCCACATACATCCATCCATCCATCCCCAATGAGTGGAGACTGCTTCTAAAGTGTTTCTTTAAACTCATTTTGCACCTTCAGTCGCTCATTCTCCCCCCAATAATATTACAAAACTATCTAACAGCGGGGTGGGTTGCATTATTCATCGACTTTTTTCTCTCTGCCTATTATTTCTGGCCTCGCTCCTTTGTGGCCTTGTTTTTTTTTTCCGTCGCAGGTTTGCTGAATGGGAACAGAGAGAGCTGTCCTGAGCGGCTGCGGCTGCCGCGTTGTTTCTTTCCGGCTCTGTTAGCTTTGTGTGTCCTGTGCTTTTAAAGCACTTTGAATGGACTCCTCAGTCTTTGTGCCCAAGTTCATCTCCACGTCTGGCGAGAGTGCGTCTTCAAGCGGCCTCTTTGTCAACCCTTTGATCGTCTCATTTGACAGCATTTTGTCCCTCTCTTTGGTTGGTAAGTGTTTGTTTGAATATTCTCCCCCGACTCCGTCCTCTAAAGACATTAAACCAGCGCCCCCCCCCCCCCCCCCCCCACCCCATACTGCCCAAGTTTGATGACAAACCATTGCAATTCGCAGCACAATAAGTCTCTTCAATGAAATAGTTGCTTTAACTTAGATCATGTATCAGACTTCTACACAACCAGCATAACCCTGAAACAAACCAGGGCCGAGGGAATCAGAGCTATTAAACTCACAGACAGAGAGAGTGTGTGTGAGGGTGGGAGAGAGAGAGAAAAATATTTAATAAACCCAACAGCCACGTGTATTTACCAACCAAACGCCATATTTTAACTTGATATCAAATCCGTATCAAACTTATTTCCATCGAACCCTCGAACAGACCGTCTAAGTAAATCACTTCATTGCCTTCCTTTTACATTAAAATCATAATCACATATCAATCGATTCGGGTGCACCGAATTATTTCTAACCAGAGAATAAATAGCCTTGCCTCTCTCTCTCTCTCTCTCTCTCTTTATTCTTCACATTCACCCCCTCTCTCTCTCATTCTCATTCACATTCTCTCCCTCTCTCTCTCTCTGCTTGTCTCTTGATCAACCGCACACAACAAGGTTGCCTGGCCAGGCTTTTATCAACGGGCACTGCCCCGCCGATTGCTAATTGTTATTGATTGGCAAAGCGGCCAACTGTCAGGCGCAGTTTCAAGGGACCGTTTAGAGATATGAGGAGCGATCTGTTCACAACACAAATTAATTTAAGCATCACAAAGCGTTCCATCAACCCTCATATGTATAATTGATAAGTGTTGCACTGCCACAGGGAGCCAGCACTGGCCCTGGGCTCACAGGCACATTCACTTTCCCCGTTCCCAACAAAGTTTCCCTCCAACGCACCTTCTCCTGTGTGTAAAATAGCTTCTCATCCCGGCGAGGCGATTTATACTTGTGTTCAAATCATGTTCTGGCTTTTTCCACACACAGTGAAATTTAGATATCGAGCGCCAGGCTCACTCTTCACACTTTGCATTGAGTATATAATATAGCTGGCAATGACTGGGGTTTCTTTCAGCCTGTCAGTTTAGCAGTGCTGATACATTACTGAACGCTTCCTCCTTCCGAGGAGAACACAAAACAACACGAAAGAACATACATTGATTGTAATAGTAAAGATCAAACCAAGGCACAATTCTCCATTCAAACCGAGGGATGGTAATGAAACGCGCTCAGTCAGGTAGGAGTAATGTGAATTATTAATCAATAAGCACCTTCACATAAATAAAATATAGAATCAATTTATTTTTCTAAATATAAAATAAGGTCCCAACACACGGAGGGTCAATTGCAGGTAGCGACAGTCATCCTCTCAGCCATGCTCTCAGCTGGCTTTAAGTAACTGAAAATCGAATAAAAACAGCCCCCAAAAGCCTTAAATGTTTTACCTTTGTCACCGAGGATACCGTCAATGCTGTGTTTGGTTTTCTTGTCCCCGTCTTCCTCTTTTTTCTCCATGTCGTCATCGTCATCTCTCTTCCCAAACCTGGCCCGTAACACGCGGCTGATGGAACTCACTGCCAAAGGGAAAAAAAAGAGAGCGATTGATTAAATTACTAAAAAGTTGGAATTATCGACATTTAAACTTTGTTTCAACCACACAGCCCGCCGTCACCCAGACATCCTGTGCTCAATCTTACTTCATTCTAAGCTCTCTTCCTTAACTCCATTTGTCACTGATAATTCATATATATATATATATATATTTTTATAATTCGCTTTAAAAATGGTGTTATTTCATAACTATGCAAGTAGTTTTTTTCAAGGGAAAAAAAAGTTAGATCCTTCTAATTGCAGTCATCGACACCTGCTGTACAGAGCGCTGTTAAATGGCAGGAGAATATTGAGAAAACACGAAGTAAATGAATGGCTTAGTGAGATTTTAGAAAAAAGTTCACCTACTATTAGCAGCGAGCATTAGTGCAGCATTAATGCTCACACCAGCCGCGGCTGCCGCCTCACACACCTACTTACTTGTCAATTTCATAGATTGGAAATTAACCAACCAGTGATCTGCGATTTCAAGGTGAGATTCTCTCCAAACCGACCACCGCCACCCACCAGATCTCAATCACTTTCAAATAAAAATTATTGCGAAGAAATGTACATGTGTGGTGGTGGTAGTGTGTGTGTGTGTGTGGCGAGAGATATTAGACCCCCTCTAAAAAAAAATCAATGAATAGCACCCTGATTTCCAGCAACTCTAAGCCACAAAGAACTGGTTCTTCTGGGGGTCTTTGGGCAATTTCTATGAGAATTTGTGCTTTGGGATATGCGTTTCGTTCACTGTTCCAATAAGATAGAATCAGTAACTTCTAATGAATTATTTAAAATAATTCAACCGTTTAGGACCTGTGATTTTTGAAGGGGGTTCATCATCGGTAATATTACGGAATATTGGGTGCAAACACTCCAACAATAGCAAACTTTACTGTAGGAGATCTCTGGGGTGTTTGGATACTGTCTTTCTGAATGTGACCAGGATCACAATGATGATGTAACTGCTGGGGGTGCCAGATCAGAGGTACCTGTGCATGTTTGGGGGAGGATAGTGTTACTAGGGAGGACAGTGGGGGGGGGGGGTGTTATTGACTAAGTTTCCTCACCTGAAGGCACTGTGCTCCTGTCACAGATCCCATCTTTCAGCAGTTTGTCCCTGATTTCCCAGCTAAACATCCCTGGGTTTTCCCTCTTGTACTCTTCGATTTTCTTCTCCACGTCAGGAGTTGCTACCTGCTTTTGGGGGGCAATAAGAGTGGGGAACAGAGAGACAGAGAAACACAGACAAATTTTAATTTCATTGTAAAGTGCTTCTGAAACTCAAAGCGGGGATCATTTGATTCCTTACTTGAAATGTACACACGGATCAATGGCGATTTGTTTTAATTACGGTTAAGAATCGATGGTTCAGTTTTCACTTTATCTAATCTGGATATAGTTTGTGAGAAGTTATTCCAGCTCCACTTGCTGCCCTCTCTCTGAACGAGCTTTGTCATACATATATATGTATATATCCATGAATATCTCTGTTGCCTCACTAATGCCAACATAATTTTTTGTGGATGGAAATTGTTTTATTAAAAGCATTTAGTCTCATTGTCCGGGTCCTGTTCCCGGAATTTGATTTTTTTATGGTTTTATTTAAAATCTATAGTTGTGTGTGTGTGTTGTGTAGCTCTTTCGATTCCTGTTAAAAACAGAGCCTGTGACTGCAGGTATTGTCAAATTGCCTTGAAACCAGCTTACTTGTATCCAGTAGTTGAGGGCGGGGAGAGTGCTTGTTAATGTTTATCACCAAACTTTTGTATTTAGAGAAACCCTAAGTTTGGAGTAAAGTTTCCTGACACTTTCTTGCGGTTTTTAATGAAAACAACTACACAGTCGAGGGGGGGGGGTAAGGAAGAAATGAAGCTTAGAAACCGAGTCAGATTTGGCACACACAGGAGGTGCACACGCACACGCACACACACACACACACACATTGGGGTTGGGAGGCACGGTTTGTGCATTGTGAATGAGCTTTGTCACTAAACTCTGTCTGTATTTGCAGTGGATGGGATGCGTGAGGTTCTCAACGCTTCGAATTGTTTTACAGAAAAAAAAAGTCCAAATGGCTGCGTTTACAACGCAGACTCAATAATTGAGAGCCGTTTGCGAAGCCAACTTTTAATATATGCAGAGATATATGAATGGTTAGCAATGTGTCACACAGTCCAGTTCCTGCCTGGTTCCTTCCCCCATGTGGCCTGGTTGGCCTCAGCCGTTTCCTCCACTCACCCTCGGTTTGCTGCCCCCAATAGCTCCCGGACGGATCGAGCCGGTCTCCTGATAGCGACACAGGATTTTGGAAACGCAGCCGTGAGACACTCGCAGCTGCCGGGAGATGACACAGGGCCGGATGCCATGGTGGGCCATCTCGACGATCTTGTGGCGGATATGGTTGGGCAGAGGCCGGCCGTTTATGAACACCCCGCCGAGCTGGTTGACTCGCCCCTGACCCAAAGGTGTGGAGACTGGTGAGGGTGTGGAGAGAGAGAGAGAAACAGTCAAACATGCTGCTAGTGGACACACAACTAGACTGTGCTTATACAGGACATGTTTGCTGTCTTATAGGGAGTGTATTCACCTGATATGAAGATTGTTGATAGAAACAAACATCTGTAAAAAAACACTAGTAAGTTGTTTACCAGAGAACCCTATTCCAATCTGCAATTTTTTTGCCACACATCATTTTTTTTTGTTTACAAATCAAATGTAATTGTTCATTCAAAATCCCTTCAGCTCAGGCTGTTTGTTATCTGCACTTTATAATCCGGCACTGGGTGTATGTTAAAGGGAGAGAAAACATGGTGGTGGGGGGTAACAAACAGCTGTATGTTTGTGGGACCTGTGGTTGGAGTTTGTAAGCTATCGTTGAAGGAAGCGGCTATTGTGTTAAGAGATTACTAGGTATAAACTAGCAGTAATTCAGCAGGTTATGTTTTCATAATAAAATAGTCTCTCTGCAGAGCTCTTGAGCTACGATCTAAATAATATTAAATCACAGACTTAAAAGAAAAGCAGTATTAATAGCCTTTGACACACATGATCGCTTAATGCATATTAAATAGTTAGAAGAGCACAGGTTTAATTACACCAGAGTATCACAAACCTATCATTTTAATAGCAATGCCTGCATAAGTCATGCAATATTTATACATTATATATAAAATACATAGGATGATTGCTAATATTAAATTGTAAATGAAAGGAACATTTAGCATATAGAAGCAGCGTATCTTTCATTCCGGTTCGAGCGTTGCGATTCGGTTCATATGAATTATTGTTGAGTGTTGTTTTTTTTAAAAAAAAAATGGTTTCTCGTTCAAGGAACAACAACACGTTGCTTTTGAGACCTGTTTTCGTTGCTAATTGAAGTGCGGAGTATTAGGCGGGTAAAGGGTGAAACGGGCTGAAACGCACACACGCACAGACACGGCTGGGAATGAGCTTGTGGCTTACAGTGTGAGACATCAGCTTGCAAACCCTCTTCATTTCCTAATGTGAATCACGCGCTGCTAATTTAAAGTGACGGTCCCCCGCACATGTACTTAACTATGGCTCAAATCATTCGCCCGAGAACATTCCTAAGTGGCGATTTCTGCATCCAGTAGACACTTAGAAATTGTAACAGTTGCTCGCTTCATTATTCCGAGCCATGTTGTGCAAATATTGGTGTAATCCCTTTATCCCTCTCCTGGCTGTTGTTAAACTTGAATTTGCTGGATGGTGCTCGCTGTTAAATCCACCTCGCTTGTGTGTTTTGCCGGCTGCGTGCAATGTGCCCGTTTCCCATCGCTCCTTAGGCACGACTTGTATGTGTTGAGCACCTATTTATCCCCCCCAACACACACACAACCAACACTAAAAAAAAACTCCACATAAAATGACTCTCTCCCAAGTAGGCACGTGCTCAGAAATGTTATAGAAACTTGGAATAAAATTAGGTAATAATCTCTCTCTCTCTCTCTCTCCACCCCACCCCCCTCTCTCCCTCTCCCCGGGTTAATTCTGCATTCGCAGCCTGTTTTTGTTTATTATTAAACATCATCCGAGGCATTTACTAAGCGCATTTTACAGATTATATCACACATCTAGGCAAAGTGAAGCTTGCATAATTATTTCAAAATGTTTAGTGATGTTTGAGTGGTCAAATCAACACGCGTAGGATTACTGTTTGCAGCTAAACTGGATGGTGTTGTGTATGAGTGCGGGAGATGGAGATAACTAGTTATTATAACTAGTATCTGGTTAGCGGTTGCAAACCTACCTTCCAAAGGGAAACCGGTTCTCGGATAACTCTGGCCTGGTCCAGGGCGCATCATCCTCGGGACCGTTCCCGTTAGAGAAGCCATTCTGGAACTCAACACCGAGGCAAATAATAATACCACTACCAATAATAGTAATAACAGCAATAATAAAGACAAATGAGGTGGGGGGAAAAAAAGAAAGAGTTTTTAAACAAATCTGAAAGTCTTTCACTCAGGACCACAGCAGGAAGCGGCGGGTTGCAGTCTCTCTCTCTCTCCTCTCTCTCTCTCTGTGGCGCCTTTTCGCTGTAAGCCAACCTCACACAGGGCTGGGGCGATTTGTGCAAGAAAAAAAGTTTCGAGTTGTGAGGAGTTCGAGGCTCGCAGAGGGGCTGGAGAGCAGGAAAGCAAGAGTGAGCGTCACTGAGTGCTGCTGGGGAGGCAGGTGGCTGCTGCTGGTTATGTTGTCTCTCTCTCTCTCTCTCTTTAAACACAGATAAGACTGCAGGAGACTGGCAGTCACTAAGGCGCCCAAGTTTGGCGCACTGTACTGTGCGGGAGAAGAGAGAGGGGGCTTTGGGCTGTGTGTGATAGGCTCCAGCCTTGTCTTTTATTCATGAGGAGGGAACGGACACTTTGACAAGCTGACGCGCCAATCGCGGGAGGGAGACTTGCACTCCAGATAAGCCCTAATTTTATTCATTACTCCACCGCCTCGTTTTCAACCAAACAGATGTTTTATTACATACATATATATTATATGTATATATACACACACGGACTAGACTGTCAACTAAATTGTGCGTTTCGCCCATAAGAGATGCAGTCAATCAACTTTACGGTATATTCTGGGACGCGCCTTGAGACGTCTCGAAGACGTGATAAGGTGCTATATCAAATGCGAGGATTATTATTATTATTAAAAATGTCTCAAGCACAAAGTAGAAACAAACCTCTCTGTCTCCTTCAGGCGAGGCAACTGGTCATTGTCACATACCTCATTGGATCTTTGCAAAAGTTCCTTTTTATATAAAATAACATATCAAGTACTTGACACCAAGTTTAACACTTAATATATATTATTCCTCACCTCTACCATACAACAATATTTTTTCCTGTGACTGGTAGTGCGCATGACATTGCTCTGTGTAACATTGTTTTCAAGAAGACCCGGGCTCTACTGAACATTGGTTTAATTTATTAAGATATTCTGCTAATAAAATGTCACTGATTAGCAATCCTGGTGATGGGCACCTTATGTAGATGGCAAAAGCGGTTTGGAAGAAATTGAAAATAATTATGTGTAAGGAAGCTATAAGATAATAATATTATTAATAATAATAATGATGGTGATATGTAAGTAAGCTATAAGATCATAGGTATTATAATAATAATAATAATCATCCGTGCATTTGATATAGCGCCTTATCACCTCTTCAAGACGTCTCAAAACGCTTCACAGAATATACTGTAAAGTGAATTGACTATATTTTATGGGTGAAACGCGGCCACCAATTGCGCACAGCCGTGTCCTGCAGACAGTCGTGAATTGCGTGACCAAATTATTATTATTATTTGAATGGATTATCTTTTAATGACTATAAGATATAAAACCCGCGCAGAATCTCTCTTTGCAGCTAAACTAGATGGTGTTGTGTGTGAGTGTGAGAGATAACTAGATACAGTAACTGGTTAGTTCTCTGCACCAATCCCACTCAGGAGGAACTTCAGCCTCCATAACATCATTTTGTTCTCAGTCAACCTCTGATTCCAGAGCTACGAGCTATCCTTTCGTCCTCTCACCTCTTCCCTCTGAACTCTGCTGTATATAACCCGCTGGTAATAAATGGCTAACATTGCAATCAATGTCCGGCAAGGGTGAGATATACTACACAAGTCAGAACAAATGGTTTGGATGTTGGATGTCTCCTGCGGCACTCTAGGCAGGGAGCAAGACAAGGGCCTGACGTTCACATTGTGCGTATTCACTTGGCTTTTGCTCCATGTGGATAAATGGGGACAGATCAAATGGTTTTAGAGAAGGTGACTGTTTTAGAGCTTTTCCATCTTTGCATCCTCCCAGCTGGATACGACGCCAGAGTGTCCCGAACCTTTGTTATGCTGTGTATATGTGTGTGTTTGTGTGTCTCTGTTAGTGTGTGTGTGTGTGTGTGTATGTGTGCGCGTGCATGTATATGTGTGTGTGTATGTGGTATGTTTGTGTGTGTGTGTGTGTGTAAAGCCCGAGAACAGATGTGTTTCTGATCCACAGTCTCCAACCTTCCTCACCCTCACCGAGGTGACACAACCATCTGTCCTACAACTTATTTCCCCGACACTCGCGAAAAAAAGGTTCATTAAACAAGTTAATATTTAATTTCCTCTTTCTGACCGTTGTTCTCTCAACGTGTTAATCGCTTCATTGGAAATTCAAGCCGGGAACCAATCGATGATTATGATTCCTTTATTAAATGTTATGGCGACTTTACAAAATGTCAGTGATGTTCTTGTACAAGTTGCGTGGTTTCCCCGCTTGTATTTCTATTCGATTCAAGTCCCACATCGCTAATAACAGCTGGAAGTTGAGGTGAGAATCGAACGGAATAACTTTCAACATGAAAAGTGCAGTTGCGACAGCCGCTTGGGATGTGCCGTTTTCTTCATGTATTGTAATAATAGCAGTAATAATAATGATAATAATAATCTTTGCATTTGATACGGCGCCTTATCATGTCATCGAGACGTCTCAAAGCGCTTCACAGAATATACTGTAAAGTGAATTGCCTGTGTGTTTTTGTGGGCGAAATGCGGCGGCCAATTGCGCACAGCAGAGACCTCTCGCTGGCGAGGCGAGTGCTCAAACAGGACTCAGCAGATGTGGCAGTTCTTCCTGGTTTTTCCTGATCACCTGAACCCAGACCACCCCCACTACCCCCCCCCACCCAACCACCCCGCTCCTAGATCGGCCCAGGAACCGCCGAGGCTTCGCTAACTCATGCCCAAAGTCCAATTTGCTAACAACTCGATACAAGGTACACATCTCTGAGATTTTATTCCAGAGCTGGGGGTCGTGGCGGGGGGGTTATTACCACCGCCTGGTTCACTCTGTGCTGACTGATCATCTAAGGGAATCAATTCATCTCCAGTTAATAACTTTCTCCACATCAACCTGGTGATGAGATGTGACATAAATAGGAAAGTCGGAAACAGCCAAAGAACTGACTGAGAGAGACAGTTGAGGGAACAATTACATCTCCTCACCTCACCTCCTGGGGCCTCGCCTCGCTTGTTCATCAACGATGTGGGAAGTACACATGAACCGTTTACTCCTAAATTTGTAATCATTATTTCCTTTTCAGAAAGGGAATGTGTTTCAGTAATAACAAGAGCAATCCTTGCAGTTGACGTCTCGACTACGAGACGTCTCAAAGCGCTTCACAGATGATACTGTCAAGGGGATTGACTATTTTCTCTTGTGTAAAATCACTGGTAACAGCCTTGAACAGGGCTTCTGCCTGGTGTGTTGAGGTAAGAGAGCTTGCTCTCCTCTCCTAACACACTGTGGTAGGCTGACCGGTTGGGTCAGGGGTGGTTTGGCCGTTTGCTCAGGTGCTCCTCAGAGCTGCGCCTGTTTATAAATCACTGCCCGACATCGGCTCAGCAACAGGTGGAGGTCCCCCCCTCCAATCCCAGGCTCTGGGTAACACAGCAAAAAAAATCAAAGGCTTCTGCCACCGTGACCAAACTAGTGTCAATGTCCTGAAACACATTCAAACTTCAGTCGTGCCGCACGGCACAGGTGCAGGAAGGAGAGGGGGCGAGAATGGCGAGGCTGGCGCTCAGCACTGGCTAATTTGTGCGTGTTCACGACCATTAATATGGTATTATTATGAAGGTTTGTGAATGCAGACTCGGCGGGGCAGCCACACGGAGACAAATAGCGCGGGGCAGGCCGACTCTCTCACAGCATTTCTGCAACAATCGGGGATGAAATGGCGATTTCACATGAATGAGTGAGAGAGGAAGAGAGAGTGAGAGGGGAAGAGGGAGAGAGAGAGAGAGAGAGGATGGGAGAATAGGAGGACGAAAGTGGAGAGAAGAGAGAGCTAGGGAAGAGAGAGAGTGTGTGTGCGTGTGTGTTTGTGTTTGTGTGTGGGGAGGATGAAATGGAGATAGAATGGGTAATGGTGATGGAGAGAGAGGAAAAGGAGAGAGGGATGAAGAAAGGAGTGTATAAGCGGCGGGTGGCTGCCCCTGCCTGGTGGGACTGCTCTGCTCCCGGGGCAGAAGGGGACACAGACCCCGATGGATCAGCTTCTCGGCTCAGGCAATGCGCACCTCAATAGCCAAAGTTGTGTCAAATGCCACCGGAATAGTGATCTCCAATCGCTCTCTGTGTTCTCTGTCAGGTATGTAGTAGCTACTGATATCTGAATGTAGACCACACTTACTGTGCATTGTTACAGACAGTCTGTGTGCAGAGGGGTTGAAGGGTGGCATCTGAGAATTTGCCTTTCAGGACAATTCCAGGAATTTATATCCATTTGACTTTTTTTTAAAAAAATGATCCGCTCACATGGTGTATTGCACTTTTTTTTAAGACAAGCTGCCTAACAGTTGTGAATTTTTTTTTGCTCGAGTGGAAAACAGCGCGAAGATATAACAGGCCACATGAGGAAAGCCACACTTGTTTCACACTTTGTGTGTGTGTGTGAGAGAGAGAGAGAGAGAGAGAGAGTGTCCATGTGTGTGAGGAAGAGAGATAGAGTATGTGCGTGAGAGAGAGATAGTGAGTGTGTGAGTGTACGTGTGTGAATGTGTTTGCAATGGGCTATAGTTTGTGTTACTGACTTACGCATAACATCTATAGGGAAAAGATTCCAAATATTGGATAGAGGAAAGTAAAAAAAAACATTTGTGTATGAATTGAAATTCTAACTCCCCTGAGATTTCCATCGAATGCAGATCCGGATTAAAGTTTGGAACATCTTCATAAATCCGTTCGATTTTAGTGGGAGTAATAAGATATATAGACAGCGATGTACAAATTACAGGCGGACAAGGGAGAAGAGGAATGATAGAAATACAAGACACAAGAGGGAGATTTATCACAATGTATTGAGGTGGAAAATAAACTTTCGGTAACATACAAGATAT